ATTAAACTGTCCCTTTCTATGTGTATCTTTCTGGGTCTGGTTCATTTATAAATTTTTTTCCATGTGCATTTTCTAAGTTCTTAGGAGTGAAGTGATTTTTTTTTTTTTTTTTTTTTTTTTTTTTTTGGAAGAGAGGGAAGACTAGGGTTCTCTTTCCACTGGTGAGTGTTTCAATTCAGAACACAAACAGAATTGTGTTTTCGAACAGAGGCACCTCTTTTAACAAAAGAAATTTAATATACTGCTGTTTTCAACTTTTCTTTTAGAATTAGGTGGCATTTGCCTCCTTCATCCCATCACTGGGGCCGTTCAAGGGATCTTAGGGTTTTCCCCCTTCCTTCTGTAGGTTAAGGAGTTGCTTTTGCTAAGATTCTGACAGCCGTTTTACTGTTTCTCACCCCGTCCTTGACAAAAGGTGAAATCGGATCCCAACACATTGTCATTCAGGTAGGGATCCAAAGCAAATGTAGTTTTAAAAGGCTTCCCTGTTGAAAAGGAGACACTTTAGGGGGGGGGAAAAAAACCCCTCTGAACCATGGGGGGTTTGTGCCCAAATGGCCCTTTATCTCCTCCCAACTGGCTTCTCTCAAACACCTTTGCAACCTCATTGTGGAAACCGACCTCCTGTGGACAGGGTTTTGTCTGGCAAAATGTGAAGTGGCTTCTTTCCTTTTTTGAAAGAAGATGCACATACTGTATTTAAATTCCTCTTCTTGAGCTGTACATTGATCTGCCACTTGCATTTCTCTGGGAAAATCGGGGAAGTCTCTTTTTAATTTAGTTAGACTGCCAGCATTGGGAGGGGGAGAACTTGTAAAATGAACTATAATGCCGTTTGGATTTCTAGCTTTCAGGATAAAGACTGTGAACCTCACATTCTTCTCTGTAAACCTTTGGGCCTTGTTCAGCAGATTTGAAATTAATGTGGGGTTAGTTGCCTAAAGTGTAGATTATGTAGCCCTCCCTTTTGGAATGTTGGCTTTTGCAGATACAGAGCTAATCAGTGGTTACAAGGCAGATAGCCCCATCTGAGCTGGGGCAGACTTCCACACAAAGATGAGTGGGACAGGAGCTTACATCTCTTTGCAGTGGGGGGAGGGGTGGGGAGCCTTTTTCAGTTCTTCATTTGACCTTGACATTTTAGTACAGTATGATCTTTCTGATCAGCACATCATTCTACTTATTTATTTAAATATATGTTTTTAGTTGTAGATGGACACAATACCTTTATTTTATTTTATTTTTATGAGGTGCTGAGTGTCTAACCCTGTGCCTCACATGTGCTAGGCAAGTACTCTCCTACTGAGCTACTGCCCTAGCCCAGCATCTCATTTTATGATAAAATTTCTGAGGCCAGTTTATTTGTAAAAAGCAAACTTTCAGACTTTTAAAGAGCTGTGCTGCAGAAATTCTCCAAAGACATTTATTTATTTATTTATTTTGGTTTGGCTCTACCAACAAGTGAACATCCCCAGCCTTTTGTATTTTTTTTTTTAATTTTGAAACAGGATCTCACTAAGTTGCCCAAGTTGGCCCCTCAAACTTGTGATCTTCCTGCTTCAGCCTCCTTGAGTAGCTGGGATTAGTGCCATAGGCCATGATACCCAGCTTCCAAAGACAATTTTTAATTTTGAGAAATTGCAAAGTAGCACTCAAGCCAGGCTTGTTGTTCTGTAGCAGTTAAAATGGTAGCACATACTGCTCAGAGGAGGTTGTGAGTAGTAATTCTACAAAAGCAAAAATGAGGATGTCTTTAGCACCATACTTTCCCATGATATGGTTTTTATGCTTGCTGATAGAGAAGACAGTTTGAAAAGAGGTCTATCTTAAAATTTTCTTGGAAAAGTTTTCTAATAAAGGCAACCTACTCATGTCTTTTGTTTTGTTTTTTATTCCTTTTTAATAATGGGCGAAATTTTTTTAAAAAAAATCTTCAGACAATTTGCATCAAACAATTTTGCCAGTGCCCTGGGAAAGCTGCCACTGAATGCTACCCCCAGGCAGCAGACATCCATACATCATGGGTAAAAGTCAAAAACCTAATCATCATCTCCTCAGGGGTCCCAAGGAGTGAAGCCATCAACACTGTAGTCTGGGGAGCACAAACTGTGTCCAGGGTGACTTGTTTCTGCCTATTCATTCGTGCAAGAAGTTTTTATCAAGCAGCATCTCCATTCAGTAGAAAGAAACCCTACATTAAGTATCTGGAGGCCTGTGTTCCACTGTTGCCATTTGCAAGTAGGGTGATTTCATTTGTAAAATTGGGGATGGCAACTCTTCCTAGAGATTTGCTTTGTGGATTTAACGGAAGTAGAGCATGCGAAGTCATCTGTTACGTTAAGCTGAGGCTGAGAAATGTTGATGGATGTGGTTGCTCTTAAATGGAGAAATAATCATTGAAAGCTTACTGAGCTCTATGCTAGGTGTTCAGGGGGTTTGCAAGGAAGTGTTACAGCACAGACGTTTAGGAGTTTGGCTTCTGAAAGAGGGGGTAAGATTGCACAGGTAAAACAGTCAAGCAACAATGCCTGCTTGTTAGAAGGCATATATGCCTTGGGAGTCATTTCACCAGGCACTTATAGGGCCCATTTAACATTATATGACAATACAGGCTTCCTAACAGCAAGAGCCTGGCAGAAGGCCAGTGTGCCCGCCTTGGTGAGGGCTCTAACACACTCTGCTGGGCTGGGCACACTCAGTATGAATTTGGCAAACACACCAGCAGGTGGATCAGACAGACAGCTGCTGTATGGGGCCTGGGAAGGGAAGGGGGAGGAGAAGCACGAACTGGAGCTTCATCTCAAGTTGAAGAAAGAGCAGCAGCCAGGACACAGAGTGACTTCAGGAACTAAGGGATCAGCTGGGCAGACATGTCTATTGAAAATAGAAAGCAATGTTGTAAATAGTGACTCCAACTGAATGTGAAAAAGCAAGTCCCCAGTGTATGCAGTAAAACAGCAATACAACAATACAGAAACTCAATGTTTGCTTTTGCATATGTCCAATAAACTTTTGGGGGAGTTCTACTCTGAGAGATCTTGAATTAGACTGTGCTAGTGTTAAATGGTAACCAAGATCTGGTACATATCCTTCATCTTTCAACTAATAATGAGAAATAGATACAAGAGGCATTATGATACAGGGGGATAGCAAGGGGCATAGAGGCAGTAGACAGAAGCAGGTTAGTGCAGTGGTAGAGAAGGAACAGGATGACCACAGAGAAACCTTGCTTGAGCCCTTCTGGAGGTCAAGGAAGTCAGTGACTTTGCCCTTGGCCTTTTCAGTAAAATGTCCACATGTAAAGGGTAGTTCAGAAAGCAGTGGCTGCAACTTTAGATGTGAAGGGTAACCACATCAGCAGTCATCAGACATTTCTAATTCTGTTTGGTGGCACTAGACAAGGTAGTTGGTATATCTTGAACTCAACAGGAGAGTGGCTCTGATTCTTCCCATATTTCTCTGGGCAT